TAGACTATATATATATGTGCATGTATGCATATGTGCATATATGTATGTATGTGTATGTATGTGTATATATACAGATACACATATGCATGCGCATTTGTGTGCATATATAAGCATGCACATATGTGTATGTGTTTATATAATATGCATGTATATTTGTCTGTATATGCATGTGTATACATATGTGTGTGTGTGTGTGTGTGTGTGTACATAAGCATTACATGCACATACAGAGATACCATGAATATTTCTAGCTCTTTTTCTGGAGGCAGATAGAATCTTTCTTCGCATGTCTTTATAATTTAATTGGGTATTTGTAATAGTCAATATGACATATGCTCAAAGACATTCTTAAAACAATATTGTTGTTATTGTGTACAATTTCTTCTTGGTTCTGCTAATTTCATTCTTCCTTATTTTATGCATGTCATTCTGTGTTTTTCTAAGATCATTGAGCTCATCATTTCTTATAGTAGAGCAGTATTCTGTCAAAATCATATAGCACAACTAGTTCACCAATTCCCCAATTAATAGGCAACCCCCACATTTCCAGTTTTTTGTCAACATAAAGAGAACTGCTGTAAACATTTGGGAACATATGGTTCATTTTTCTTTTTCCTTTATCATCTTTGGAAATAGACCTACTTTTTGTATTGCTGGGTCAAAGAGTATAGACACTTTAATAATTCTTTGGGCAGAGTTCCAGATTTCTCTTGAAGATGTTTAGATCAGTTCACAATTCCACCAACAAAGAATTAATGTCCCAATTTTTCCGCATCCCCTCCACTATTTATCACTTTCCCTTTCAACCATTTTAGCTAATCTGGGAGGTGTAAAATGATATCTTAAGGTTGTTTTAAATTGCATTTCTCTATACAACAATTATTTGGAGCATTGTTGATATGACTAAAAAAAATGTTTTGTTTTCTTCATTGGAAAACTGTCTGTTCATATCATTTGACAATTTATAAGTTGTGTTTACTGATGTTTTTACTTGGAAGACCCTATAGTGAATTGGCAAGAAGGCTGAATTTAGAGTCAGTTATCACAAGTATGATTCTTACTTCTTTCATTTACTACTTATGTGACCTTGAAAAATGACTCAAAATTTCTTTATACTCAATTTTCTCACCTGCAAAATGAGTAATTTGAACCAGATATTCTGTATAGTAAGTTCTAGATCTAGATTTATGAGTTTTTCCCTCTTAATAAAAAGGAAACTCCTTATGAACAGGAACTATTAATATTATTCTCTTGCCTTTTAGATGAAATAAACAATGATTTTCTCAAAAAGAGAATGATAGTAGCTTCTTGATATGTAACTAATAAGGTTGACTTGAATTATTGGAGAATGTATAAAATGTATTGTTCAAGGACAATTTGTAATCATTCTTGAAACAAGTGTTAATCAACAGAAGCCAATGAATTTCAGTAAGAATAATTGATATGTTCTTTCCTTTTTTGATATGGTCACTACCATGATAGATGAACAGAATGATAATGATGACATATTAAAAATTAATTTTTGTGTGAATCTATATTATACACACACACACACACACATATGTGTCTGTGCCTATACCTGTGTGTATATATGGTCATAGCATTTGCTACACATGTGTATATGTATATACACATATGCACACATACACATACACATATACATATACATATACATATGCATATACATATACATATACATATATACATTTACATTCATACCTATGTATATGGAAATGTTTGCTAAATTACAGGAGCTATACTTTCAAAAATGAAGATTTTGATAATCACACTGTGACTTTACCTTATTAGAACACATCTGGGATATTCTGCTCAGTTCAGTGTGCTACATTTTAGAAAGGATATTTACAAGCTGTAAGACATCCATAGAATGACAATGAGGAAGGTGAGTATACTGCATATTATATGCCATTTAATGGTTTAAATGACTGGGAATGCTTTTTATTAAAATAAAAGATTTGAGGAGGACATGGTAACATCTTGAAGTATTTGATGAATTGTCATGTGGAAAAAGGGACTCTCCCTCCAATTTATTCCAGAGATCAGAAGTAGAAACAATGGTTATAAATTTTATAAATTTCTTATCAATTAAACCTGTCAAATATAGTAATAACAGAAAAAATAGGATTGACTCTAGCAGGACAATAGGAAATAAGCAAGGAGGATGTCAGTTTTTAGTATTAACTTCAATAATTTGGCAAGTCATTCTCTGTCCTTTTACTGACATAGAAACTTATTCCTTTGTAAACAAGCCCATGAAATGTGGAGGGTGTATTGCATTAGGTTATGGGAAGTATATATTCTTAGTAATCTTCCATGTAAGATTTTTACAGGTATAAGTAACATTGAAATACTTGAGAACAGACAATAATTCAGTAAGACACAAGGTCTCTTGATCTGTTTTCCTAATGCTATTTTCTTCTGTTTAGGCAATGATGAGTTCTCACTCATATCCTTAACCATTTTCATTGAAGACATAGAAATGAAAAACAACATGGCTGAATTTATTCTTCTTGGACTGACCCAAGACCCAGAAACAAAAGATAGTATTTGGCATCTTCTTGGTTTTCTACACCACAACTGTGTTAGGAAACCTGCTCATCTTTTTGACCATCAAGACCAGTCCCACACTTGAGTCCCCCATGCATTTCAGTCTGACCTACTTGTCCTTTGAGGACTCCTGTTTCTCTAGTACGACAGCTCCCAAACTGATTGTAGAAAACCTCTTTAAAAAACAGGCTATTACCTTCGACAAGTGCATGACTCAAGTATTTGGAATCCATTTCTTTGGATGTATGGAAGTCTTCGTTTTATCCTCATGGCCTGTGACCGCTATGTGGCCATCTGTAAGCCTCTGCACTACACAGTCATCATGAACCAGAAGATGTGTGGCATTTTAGTAATATTGGCCTGGTTGGGGTCTTTTCTGCATTTCATCACCCAGACCTTCCTTGCCTTGAGTTTACCCTTCTGCGGTTCCAAAGTGATTGAACGCTACATGTGTGACTTGCAGCCTTTGCTGAGATTGGCCTGTACTGACACCTATGTGATAAACCTATTGAGTATTTCCAATAGTGGGATCATATGCATTACAAGCTTTGCAATTCTAATGACCTCCTATGTTTTCATCCTTTATTCACTAAGAAATCATAGTGCAGAAGGGAAGTGTAAAGCCTTGTCCACGTGTATCTCCCACATAATTATGGTTGTTATATTATTTGTCCCCTGTACTTTTATATATACTCGGCCCCCAATTATCATGCCTGTAAATAAGTTGGTGCCTGTATTTTATACCATTGGAACTCCTTTGCTCAGCCCCTTGATCTATACACTGAGGAATGCAGAAGTAAAAAATGCTATGGAGAAGCTACAGAGCAACATAGTAAATTCACATAGCAAATAGAATACATACTATGCCCCCCCCCAAGTTACTGGCATGTCAATTCACAGTTGTCTACCTCAGTTTCCTCAACTGTAAAACGAGAATAATAATAACATCTACCTCACAGGGTTGTTGAGGGGATCAATTCAGATAATATTTGTAAAGTGCTTAGGACAGTGCCTGAAACATAGCAGATGTTTAATAAATAATTACCTTCTTCTACTTCAAAGAAGATTTGGACCAATACGAAGAAGAGATACGATCTGCTTGCACTTGTCCCTGACCCCTGAGATTATGAGTATAACATGTAGGCCCTTCAATACACAATGAGTAATGACTCTATTATATTCAGCCCAAAATACCAGAAGAATGACAGCACGATGAGTGTTTACAGTTTTTGACTAGGGCTGGTGCCTGTATACTCCATATTGGTACAATGATATGTATATAGTTTCTGTTGACTAGGGAGGAAAGTCAGTGACTTCACAGCTTTCAAATGAGGAGGGAGTTTAGAGGTCATCTAATGTAACCCTTTCACTTTATACATGAATAAACTGAGGACAATAAAGGTTAAACATTTCACCTAAGTTGATATAAATAGTAAATGACAGAGAAATCAAGGATTTTAGTCCAATCCTAGTGCTATTTTAACTATACTATGCCACAACCTATTCCATTTTTTCTCTTTGTATTCTTGTCCTGAAACCTTTTTCACTCCTGAGGTATGTAGATAGATCTTCATGACAGGAAAGGAGAATCTGTTCACTTTTACCAGGGAAATATTCTTTTGCTATTTCTTACTATGCTAATTTTTGAAATGTCTTTCTTTGAAATATCTGTGTGCTTTGGTTGAAACAGATTAAAAGTCGATCACATATAGTAAAAAACAAACAAACAAACAAACAAACATATTAATAGGATCTCAGGAGTCATAGCATAACCCTTGGATAGCTTTCTAAAGTAGTCACATGTGAGAGGGGCCACCAAATCCTATAACTGAGTGCAAAGTGTTTTGGGGAAGGATAAATTGTTCCAAAAGTTTTAATATTTATTTTAAAATAGTGCTTGGTGTAGAAAAAACAGAACTGTTATCAGGGCAGATGCTAGATTTTAGAAAAGATAGAGTTTTAATTCACATGCAATTTACAGAATAGTAGATAGGTTACAAAAAACAAAGGTGAAAATAGCATCAAACAAAATCTTACCTAATCCATGCAATGAATTAGCAACTATCTGATGGCAGTATTTCTTAATCAACTACCTATTCATGATTCTGCGTGCGAAAAATGCAAATATTGTGACTTAAAGTTAATTGGGCTAAACTGAAACACTCAGTTTACTACTGAATATTTCTACCTTAAAAATTATAATGGTACATAAGATATTCACTAAACTTCTCTAGACCTGAGTCCACATTTACTACATTGACTACGATATACAAAATGATCCTTTTACCTCTAATATTTGATGATTTTAAGTAATTTCTTTTTTCACAAATAAGATGATGGGATATTCAAAAGGTCACAGTAAACCCTATACAAATGCTTCTTTTGGCTTCAGAGGTAACAGCATTTATGGAGAGAGTGCTAAATACTAGGCAGGATAAGAAAGTTGCAATAAAGACCCAGTTCACCTGTTTTCTGCTTTAGCTAAGACTTGGCTCCAGATAAGGTTAGACAAAATTGGACTGGGACACTTCTTCATTCATTGACCTTCAAGTCAACAAAGTTTATGGAGCCAATTTACTCATAATGAACAACCCTCATTTCCCCGGAGGCTTCAGTTCTCCAAGTTTCTAAAGTTTGATGCAATTACTATAAATAATTGTTGGAAAAAAACATTAAGCTCAAAGTGTACCAGGCAGAGAGCTCTGCATCATGCAGATTTAGGCAAACTTCCTATTGTCACAATCTCTGTGTCTACCCATCTTGTGGCCTTAATGACATTCGGAACAAGGAATTAGTAATATGAGTTCCCAAAATATTAGGTGGGCAAGACCCAACATCCTCTAAGAATACCACGTTCCTGGAGTGAGTAAAGTGACAGTAAGATGATGAATTCATGAAAATATCTTTTTTTCTGTCACTCCTTTCTCCTCTTTCCTCTGCCCAACCCTGCTCATTCTCCTTTTGACCATTCCCCACTCTGTTACCACTCTTCCTATTCCTCAGTCTTTTTGTCCAAGACCTTCAACTTTACCTAATAATCAAAATCTCATCACTTCATGTCTTTATTTTTGTATTTAAAGCCCATTCCAAAACTTTTTTTTCTTTTCATTTAACTTAATGTAAATGGAAGGTAAGTCAAAGTGGACAAAAGTGTGAAAATGATTGACAAAAAATATTGAGGACTAAATTCTTTGGGGCTTGGAATTTTTGAGTAAGGACTTCAGCCTTTATTCTCTAGGAGGTGAAGAACCATGGATGCTGATTAATTAGGACAGGATATGAAAGATGTGTTACTTAAGGAATATTAATCAAGAACCATAGAAATAACTCATCTCTTAGCTTTTGGAATAAATATAGCTGGTATTTCTTCTATTCAAACACATGTCTATGTGTATAGTTATGGCTATTCTCACGTGTAATTGGTTTCACTGTACATGACACTTGTGATATTGGTGAGATGTCTCATTATTCTGATTTATGTGCATATGCTGAAACATAGAAATAAAAAAAATAAGTAAGCCTTCACAGGTCAAACAATAACTCAGCACTTCTGGCTTCACCAGAACCTAACAAATGTACTGATGGTCTTTTCACCATACCTCACTGCTGCCTCAAATACAAAGTCCTTGTCTTTTATAGGTCTTAGACTACAAATATTGACTACTCAGGTGAAATGAGGTCTGACAGCTTTTTTTCTTTTTTTCTATTTTATTAAAATCTCAATAATAATTTATACTTTTACTCCCAGGATACATTTAAGGATAGATACATTTATCAAGATACAGAATATTTTTTTTAATTTTTTCAAGAGCATTGTCACACTTGGATGAGAGGAATTAATCAAGGGCTGCACAGAAATAAAAATCATTCTATTAATGTTATTTTGTTTTGTTTTTCTGGAAGATGTAAATAGGACATATTAAAACAAATATGCAAAACCAAATAAAACTCACCTTCTTATATAGACCCTGAACCATCATATTCTATCTGGTGAATATAAGTAATGAACAAAAGCAGTTGTGATTTTGCATTTTGCCATATGAAGTGAGAAGAGAAAGAATGGGATATGGAGAAAGGGTTGGGAGGAGATAGGGAGAGGAAGAGAGAAAAAAAAGGTGTAGAGAGAGGGAGAGAAAGAAGTGAGGTAGAGAGAGAGAAGGAGAGGAAAGGAAAAAAGAGAGGAGAGAGACAGGAGAGAGAGATTCAAAGAGTGGGAGAGAGTGAGAAGTGGGGAGGGAGAAAGAGATGGGAAGAGAAGGAGGAGAGGAAGAGACAGAGAGAGACAGAGACAGAGAGAGCATCATTTGGCTTCTGGTCCACATATTCTGTTACTACTTCCATTTATTTCTCTCCTAACTTCATTGTCCGAACTAAAAAAAAACCCTACCAATTGCACTAATATACATATATATATAAATATACTATTTCTTAATCTTCTTTAGTATTAAAACTATCTAATAGACATTTCATTTTAAGATATTTGAATCAGGCCAAGCACATTTCAAAATAAAACCTACAGATGTTTTTATTTGCACAGTACTTTCACTGCCCATTTCTCCTTCCTCTTTGGGGGCATGCAAATTATCTTAATTTCTGGCCAGAACATCAGCAGTTCTGACAGGTCTTATGAAGTTGAAGAAGCTTGGAGCTGAGCTAAGGAGTTCTGATTGCCAGAAGATCCACACTAATGAGTTGGGGAACTTCATCATAAGGAAAATACTCACAAGTTTAAAAATCATGTTCAGCAACTCAGTAAAACAATGCACTCTAGGATTATGCACACCAATCAACCAGTCTATCAAAAAAATATATATATCAGCTTGTGGTTACATGCCAGGGTAGGAGCTGAGGACTCAAATTCAAAGAAAGAAAGGCATAATAATTTAACTTGCCTTCAGATCTTGTGCATGTCAAATTTTTCTCTACGTTAATTAGCTCCTAGGAAGAAATGTTTTGGGGACAGAAAAACAGAAATTCTGAGATAGATATAGTAGTAAAAGTAGAAGAGCAGGAGAAGGAGGAGGAGGAGGAGAAGGAGCAGCAGCAGAGGCAGCAGTTCTCAGCCAACTTGAAAATTTCAAGAAAGGGAATGTGTTTTCTATGGGCAGATCTGAGAAAAAAGGCAGTGTGGTTTCATGTTCTCGAAGAACTGAAATGTTACCTTTCATATAGTCTGACTGGGAAAGGCTTTCCAGCGCCTCTAGGCAATTTTAAAATTGTGAAACAGTTGTCAATTTTACTAATAGAGACAGTTTATTGATTAAGTAGTTCTTTATATCAATAAGAAATTCATGTGTAAGTGGTGGTGGTGGTGGTGGGGATTCAGGGCAGGTCTGTACCAGATATTTCAGAGGGCAATTGGTCTCATAGATGTCACAGGCTGTACTAATTATTGCTAAGAAGTTTCACTATAGGAGAGATAATTTTGGAATAGAATAAGTTTTAAGAGATGGCAAAGGAAGATGGGGAACCCATATGCTTATTCATCTCTTGTCTTCTTTCCAATCCATGGGATTAAACATTTCAGTACTATTTTTTATTTGGTGGGTAGAGAAGAGGAGGGTCTAGTTTCTTCTTCCTATGAGATAGGTGTTAAATAAATGTGAACATTTCACTTCATATTTTGTAGGTAAAACTGCTTGCCTTTTTCTCTCTGGGGAGGAACATTATTGCTCTGAAACACATATGTATCAGAAGACCCAGAACTTCAGTGGCAGAAACATAGGCCTAACTCTGGAATTGACAGCCCCCTCTTCACTAGAGGTTTTCAAGGAAAGGATTGGAAGACATTGAGGTTAAGAGGTCTCTAGGAATTCTACTTTAAAATTTCGAATAGGTAATTGGTTACATGGG